ATTTGCTTACTACACTGTTAATAGGGCAGATAAGGTAACTCTCCTTGCATCAATATTTTCCTTGTGTTAGTGAATTTAGAATTTATTTTCTTTTCTTCCTGTTTTTTTCCCCCAACATTGTCAAATTCCTCGCCTATCTAAACACCTTTCAAATATGGTGGGGGGGGGGGGGGTAAGACGATGCGTTTACATCTCTACTGTCAATTCATTAGTGAGTGCTGTCAAATTCTCAAATATATGAATATGTTAAACATCATAGATAAGAGGATATGTTTTCTAGGTAAAATCCCTGTGAGAACAGGTGAATAATCATAAGTTACTGTCCCATTCTGAAAAATCCCTTTTTGCTTTTATGAGTGTTAAGGAAGATGACCTAATTTATATGTTTTGAAATATCGATGAACTTTTATGATGCCATTAAATATTCTTACGTTTTCATTTTTTTGAACAAGCAAAAATTGAGAAATTAGTAACGCATGAATATTCTGTGTTGCCCTGTCTTGGGTTTTTATATAATTTGTCATTATGGATAGCTGCAGTATCAATTAAATAATGTTGGAATTATTCTGAAAGAAAACCAGTATTTTTAATAAGAATCTTTTAATTTTGTAGCAAAGGTAAAGTCCCTGATTGAAGTTCTCTAGGTGAGGGGAATCGCAGTTACTTTATTTCCAGGTACTTGCACTATCTGATGGTATTTATGTTTTCACTGGACATAAGGGTCTGTGGATGCCATGCTGTCTGATCTGATTAAAAGTAGATATTTTTTTTCATGATCATGTGTAAAATTGTAAAAAAACAAACAGATTTGCATCATTTGTATTTGATTTTTATTAATTTAACTATTTGTTTTAAACTGTAGAAGGGAGAATAAAAAGATTTTAGTAGTCATGTATGTGGGTGTTTCTCTCTGTCACACGCAACGTAATATTACCGTAATTGGTATAGTACAGGTGTGATGGTTCAAATACCAAAATGGCAACAGTAACAGAAAGACTTCCCTGGCGGCGATGATAAAATACGAACACGGAGCCAACAGATGAGGTTTCAACTGGTACTGGTATTATTATACTCTGCAAACATCAAGTACAATAACGTGGTAAAACTCCACTACTCTAATAACTAGATACTTAAACTCCAATACAATTCAACGAGATCTCCGATCTGATCTCAGTGCTGAACAACTCCCCTATATATACCCACACTGTCTATAAATAGACCATTACATCAGCATACATAATGAGTCTGGAATTTACTATAAATTTCTAGAATGTTCCATTACCTTCTATTGCCTCCTACAGTGTTCTATTACCTATTCAACCAGTTTCTAAAAAAAATCTAGAATATTCCACCCAGACACAGTACGGTTCTAGAACATTCTCAGTGACATGGAAGTGGTAAATAAGTTGTATGCGATACTCTCAGTAGAAGATTCAACCACAATAGTACATCTAACTGACACATGAATACATTATTCAGACCACTGTATATCAGAAATTTGAACTGGTACTTTTACAGAACAAACCAAATCATTTGGGTTGCAGTATTGTGTACAATATTCTAAGGTTTATTTGTCAATCATGACAAATTCAATTGTGTATGAAATTGAAAATGATTACCTAATGCTATTCAAAAAATACACCATTGAGTGAATACCTTCTAGTGGTCTATACTGCACCTACAATGACACCATGCCTTGTATTCAGTTATGTGTTCATTTGTTCTTTCATTCATTCAATAATGATTAATTAAATGGACTAAAAGACATGCATAGAAATTGGGTTGGGTGGATTTTAAAGATTTTATTTTTAAATTCTGGCGACCACTCACTCTGATGTAGCCTGAAAACAAGGACTAGATTGAACTTGGTACATGCATCTGTCAGTCCGTCTGTCCGGACCTGTATGTCGGATGTGCCTCGGCTGTTCACATTCAAACTTCACACACACACACCGTATCACCTTATACAACTCTAGATACTTATGTACATCCATTCATTCTATGATCTGATTTGAGATGCCCAAATGGTGGCTGTTTTAATGTTAAAAAATTAAAGTTTTTCAGTCATCCGGAACCATAGCTCGGTCTTGTACAGATTTTGTTAAAACTTGATACAAACGTTGGACATAGTTTCAGATCTAAATCAAAATGGCAGTCATTTTGTCTTTAAAATGTGTTCTGGAGCTGTATCTCTGACATGTCTTGACCAATCGTTTTCAAGCGTATATGTACTTGCATATGTATTTGTTTAACTATAGGATTCAAGTTAGTCGAATGGTAACCATTTTAATATTAAGAACTCTGTCGTGTGTGGATGAATTCTGTTGGTGCATAGATTGGACGTTTTAAAACATTGATGTATAGCATTTTGTTTTTCAGATTAGAGTAAAAATGGTTAACTGACGGCGAATTTATTTAAATTAATGGTGTTCCAACGCCATATCATATTCGACATTAGTAAAGTAAATGAACTATGTCAACTTGACGGGAAGTCTTTATAGTCTGACGTTGTATATCAAGCGAAAGTTACGCGAATAGACAACGAAACCAGCGAAAGCGGGCTTGGAAACGAATTTAAAACAAGATATAGAAACCACATAGCCTCATTCTGTAATTGCAACAGTTCAAAGTATTTATTTGTGATTTATGTGTCACCCAATAACATAGAAATTAACACATTTTCATATATAAATGTTAATCAATTATACTTCATATGTACGGCTCTGGTATGGTTTGGATATCCCAGGGCGTGGTACCCCAGACCATTCGTCCCGGTGTTATCGCTATCGCC